GCGCGCAAATGCGTGGGCGCGATTGTAGCAGTTAGTGGCAGTTAGTGGCAGTTAGTGGCAGTTTGTAGCAGTTAGTGGCAGTTTGTGGCAGTTAGTGGCAGTTTGTGGCAGTTAGTGGCAGTTTGTGGCAGTTAGTGGCAGTTTGTAGCAGTTAGTGACAGTTTCTTTGCACTTAGCTCCTCCTGTGTCCGATATCCACCAAATTTTTCGGACAGTTGTAAAAGCCCTATTGGAAGATCGTCACCAATTTTCAGAATGATCTCATTCAAGGAACTGAAGATATATCCAAATAATACGACAAAAATCAACGAATTTGGTCAAATTTGGTCAAATTACGCGACTTTTACAGCTAATTTTGCTCCAAAAGCCGCGCACCATCAAATATGGCACCTAGGCAAAACTCACTGATCTTTCCAAAAAGGTATGACAAATTTGGTATTGTGAAAATTCTCACAGTCTCTAGAAAACAATGGTACAAAAATTTTTAAAATCCGAGCAAGTTTATTTTTATGGTGCACCTCCTAACATTACTTTGATTAAACTCATGCTGATCACAATACAGTACAGGGAGGTGGGTAACACGGATTGCAGTCGCAGCTGCGACTCCTCGCTGGCGGTAATATTTCAATGAACAAGAATTAAGAAAAAGAGAATTTAAGAAAAAGATAATTTTATTTTCCACAGAATAATCAATACATATAATATACTTCAAAAACTTTAAAATATATTGTAAGTTCATCTATCGTTCATGTCATAAGATGGGGTACTCTCAATAATTATCAAGTACATGAGTACCCGACCCGCCGCGCCGCGCAAGCACCACACTGCAATTGAAATTGGAGATGTAAGCATAATGGGCGCGCAGTGAGGTATATCTGATATCAGCTCATAAACTTTATTGTTTATGATAACTAAATTATATTATCAAACTACGCCAAGTTGGTACGGTGGAGTTTAGTTTATACTAGATCACTCTAGTGGGCGTTATAGTAGAAACCTTACAGTTACTTAGCCAGCTAATCTCAAGGTCGTTTCTCTCACCAGAGGCGCGGCAAAATTCACCGAGCATTAAGGAACGCGCGCTGGGTAAGAAAAAACCTAGCCAGAGTGGAAGTCGGCGCCCTCATTAAATTTTTGGAGAAAATCGCTCGCCAAAATTTGTTGGACCAGGACGATGTCCTAGCCTGGCAGCTCATTGCGCGGCGCGTCGCAACGAGCTTCGTTGTTCGTCGACGTGCGACGAGCAACGAGAAAAATTGTGTGGCGCGTCGGGTGGCACATCTTAACGGGTGATACGCGTATAAATTTCGATCGCTGACGTACAGCGAGCGTCACAGCTGCGAGTGGCGTTGTCATACGTTGTATGATCCGCCGCGCACGAAGTGCGCGGCTCCCCCTGTAGCGTCGAAGACGCTACATATATAGTAAAGCGACCGTGGGGGTCACCACGTGATACAAGAGTGGCGTCAGCTAGTAGGATTTCATTTTACAAGGCATATCGCGTTCACCTAGCTAACCAGGTCATTTCCGCCTCCGGCGGTCGCGCGCTACTGCAAGCGAGAGGGCTATAGTTAGAGCAACACATCGCACCACAAGCCAAATATTTATCAACATCTTGACTAGCTACGCGGTCCTTTTCCGCATGCGCTCGTGCTGTGCTCAAAAATTGACGTCGTTAATCAATCAACATTAAGATTTTAGTTTTACATTTGACCTTTATGTCAAAAAATTTTTGAATTTTCAATCTGTGGTCTATGTTACCTGAGGACCTCCGGCTTCGTTCTTAGTCTTACTTCGTCACAGGACGATCGGAGCTCGAAGAGCGTAAAGAGTGCTGGCGTCGTCCTGTGATGGTCGACGTATTTTTGCTTGCTGGGATCCGGCCGAATGACGCCACATCACACATGCAACGTGTAGGGTAAAACTAAAAACGCTTCCCTATATGAGATAATATGACAAAAATTGTTTTGGTCACGTGACCAGTCAATGACATTGATATTTCGCTGCTGACGGTTTGGTGGAGGGTTAGGGTCAACGTTTATACATTATATATAGGGTCAAAGTTAGGACTAGAGTTGTACACTATTGACATTGTGAGGGTAATGGTTAAGGTTTATCACTAGCGACCTTTTCATCTGACCACAATATCGCAAAATGCTATGTAAATGTTGTATGTCACGTGACAAATTTAGCCGAGGGTCAGAAGTCGGAAGTCGGAAGTCGGAACTCGGAAGTCAGTGGACTCTGTTGGAAGCCGGCAGACTCCGAGTGGAGTCCGCCGAGCCCGGTGGACTCCGCCAAGCTCCGCCGGACTCCGCCGGAGTCCGCCGACCACTCCGCCGGAGTCCGCCTAGTGGCTTAGTCCGCGGCGGACACTCCGCCGACCCGCTGCGGAGCCGTTCGGAGTCTGCGGCGGACTTTAAAGTCCGCTCGGCTCCGCTCGGAGTCCGCCAAAATGTATTCGAGTCCAAACGAAATACATTTTGGCGGAGCACCGCCGGAGTCCGCTCGGAGTCCGGCGGCTCCGCCGCGGACTCTACTCCACGACGGATAGTGCCAAAATTGCGGCCGAAAATTTCAAGATTTATTAACTGAAATAGAGAGCAATTGCAGAAATGAAAAGAACAGTTAAAAGAAACAGTGGAGCGCAGCGTGTATAAACAATAAACATAAACTTAGACTTATTGTCGCCACGAATTTTTGCAACCATAGTAACACGTCACGTGTTCAATGTCAGGCAACCATATCGCGCTGCGTGGTATAGGGGCTGAGGCCGAGAAGTGATAGAGTGCATTCCTTGAGCCGTGGGAACCATTAAGATGTAGTGTCAGTGATATAAATATGGTGTACGTGTCTTGTAATAGTCACAGTTTAATAGTTTAGGCCCCAAAAATTTGAGCAGTTTGTGAATTTGTGATTTTGTATGTTCGAATAGTTTGTGGCGTGTTTTACGTCAGTTTAAGATATTACTCTAAGTTTCATGTCATCTGCTCACGAGCTGCATGAGCAGCCCGACCGGACACAAAAATAAAATATATCTACAATTACAAATATTTGTTAGTCCAAGAGTTGAAAAGTTGAACATCAGGTACTGAGAAAATAATCTCCTGCAGAGCATAATTCTAGGAGTGAAGTAAGAAACTAAGCGAGTTAATTTTCCGAGCCTCGACTTAAAAAATCGTAATCGATAATTTGCTCTCCTTTTTGCCGTAATTATTGTCTGAAAATCATGTCTTTAGCCACAAAAGTACCATTGCCGAAGCATAGAGCTGGGGATAATTTTCCAAAAAACGTTCATGCAGATGAAAATTATTCTCAATTTTCGACTAATGATTACTTTTAGATTTTTTGAAAAATAGATTTTCATGATCGTAAGTCATATGAAGAAGCCACTATCATAGTATTATGAAAATTACTAAGACATTACTGTACAAGTTCGGCTCTCTGTGGGTGACAGATAATATTAGTAACGTTACGCTATAACAAGCACTCGATCGTTATTATTATATTTATACATAACAACGTCTTGGTTGATACGGCTAGTGACCATTATTCAACATTTGCTAGACGTGACCACTGACCACGTCCCATACCTTCGTCCCAGACAATTAATAGAACAATTATTTTAAATGAAAGGTTATTTTAATCTATAAAGCAGACCTATGAATGCAATTGACCATTCAAATCATTATCGTGAAAGATTTGTTCGAGGAAATTTTAAAAATCAGTTATGTTTTAATTTCTCTCTATCATCTAGCTTTGTACTGTAGTACGGCTTTTATTTGGCAACGACGACAACATGTCCCCGTTACCGGTGGGATTTCGTCAAGTTTAAAATATAGTATAGATCAATATATCTATATATTGATGCTTTTCATACAAACAAGTTAAAACAAATTCTTTATGCCGTGCATCCTGGGTTTGGACCGGATATGCCCGCTTAAAATACTTCCATCGCGTTACACTACATAATTCTCAATAAATGTAATAATGTTGTAATTTATTGAGTCAATTACAACATTATTAATAGTGTTGTAATTAGTAATACTAATATAATAACATAATGTTTACTCTAGATGTAAGGTACAAGATAATGTTAGCTTTAGAATTTAGATGTAAGGTATCTGTATATTGTAATGTTAGATATAGATGTAAGGCATAAGGTAATGTTAACTCTAGATGTAAGGCACTAGCTAATGTTCTTATCGTCACTAGTACTTTCACTTGAGTCACCAGCCTTTTCACTGAAGTCATTACATATGACTCTGATGAACAGTATAGTTTTGGAATGTGGAAAACCTTCCGCAACTATACCGAATAGAATGAAATCGATCGCAGAGAGAATTGAGAGAATTGTCTGAGAGGGAGAGATAGCACAGACAGGGACACTTCGTAGGAAGTTTGTGCTTGCAGCACCGCCAGGCATCTGTGAGGCAGGCTGAATCCTTGTCCTTCTTCCGAAAGTAGATGTATCCATCAAAGTGAATTAGCTGTTAAGATCCTGTTCGACCAAAGATGAATTTGGAAAAGGTAGGCACTAGGCATTTTGATAAAATGCGATATTATATAGCATTGTCTTTCATCTTCCAGTATATATACTCCCTTTGCATGCTTTCGACACGCAAGTCTCACGTCCCTTAATACGAAAACCACCCCCGTTAGCAAGAGGTCCCGTCCCTTGTGTGATCTACGAGTCGAGCAGACAAATCTTAAAGATCATTTTTACTTCTTAATTTACAGCTATGATGTACAGAATTGACATGTGAACTCTAACCTATATCTAGCCCATTTCTATTTCAATTAAATTCTACTGATGGATCATATCATTGGCGATCAAAACTTTTATTCGTTCAACACAGGATTCGAACTAAGACAGAGAGGTCAAAACATGCTCTGGCTTCGCCTCCGGGAGGGCCTGAGGAAGACCCTGCGCCTCCCCCGAATAAGCTACCACGACAATGATGAAACAACTACAAGACGCAGCACCAACAGGTTTAGCAATGACTAAACCCACACAAACGAGGTCCCGCCACTCCCTTAAGTTCCTGTGCTGGAATATCAACCACTCTCGGGACAAAGTTGAAGGAGCCAAGGTTGACATTCCCGAAATTCGTGAGCTCTTCGACAACCACGATATTTTTGCTCTGCAAGAAACAAAAGGGGAGATCAACATAAGTAACTACTGTTGCTTTAATTCTAACAGGAAGGGATCAAATTCAGGAGGGGTATGTATAGGAGTACACAAAAGCTTAAAAGCCGGTGTAACCAATGTTCGTATGAACTCCACGGAAGATATCGTTGTAGTTAAACTGAAAGCTAACTACTTCGACATAGACCGAAACACCTATCTTATCAACGTCTATGACTCACCCACTAATGGATCCTTCAAGAAGCGAAGAAAAGGTCTAGAAACTGAAGACAGTATGACAACTCTAGAGTATCTTCAAGAATTCTTGGCGGGTGTACCGCTCAACGAGGATGTCATCCTTCTCGGGGATTTCAATGCTAGAACTGGCACCCTGGACGACATGTTGTCTGACCATAGTCAAATGAAAGACACCGAGATCGACCCCCATTTCTTTAAACAGTTGGCTAAACGCAATAACTCAGACCCTAAGCTAAACACGAATGGGCGACCCTTCATTGAACTCCTCCAAACGACAGGCCTAGTCATCCTCAATGGTAGAACTCTCGGTGATATATTCGGTGAACCCACTTGTATTCAGCGCCATGGCGTCAGCACAGTTGATTACATTTGCGTCTCAACGAGTCTTCACGACAGAGTCCGCCACCTGAAAATTGAGAGCATCTCTCAATACTCCGATCACAGGGCGCTATCTATGTCAATATCCACAAATCCTTCAAGAAGGATTTCTACCAGTCTTGAATCACCAGATATCCAAGATGCTCCTAAATCTTTTAAATGGAACAGATCAGAGAACCTCTCTGCCGATACAGCAACTAAATTCCGGCTAGCACAGAGTGATCAGCCATTCAAAGACAAAATGGACTGCCTCCTTAATCAACCAGTGAATACGGCAAACGAAGCTGCACAGCTTAATGAAGACGTAGTCGCAACATCCCACAATCTTGCGAATTCGGTTACTACGACCAAAAGCGGCAAACGCACCAGCAAGAAAAAATGGTTTGACCAAAGCTGCAAACATGCTAAAAGGGAAGCCAACAGAGCTGACAGAAATGCCAACAGTAACCCACACAGCAACTTCCTTCGTGACCAGCACTTTCTCAGAAAAAAGGAGTACCGAAAAATCAAGAGGACGAAAAAGGGGAAATTTCTGTACGAGATGAACCAGAAGATAAACGAATGTGGTGAGGTTAACTGGGCAGCGCTCAAACGGCTATCTGATCAGTACAAAGATGAGGAACCCTTCGACATCTACGATCTTCTCCTCTTTCACAAATTCTTCAATGATCTCCACAATCGAAAGTGTGGCGTGAACAATCACTCCAAGGATGATGGCACTTCTACTCCTACGTCCAACGATTCGCAGCCTATCAAGGAATTGGTCAATGAACTGAATCGCGACTTTACCTTACAGGAGATCAAAGATGCGACTAAAAAACTCCAAAACAATAAGAGTGTGTCCGATGACCTGATATCGAACGAGATGTTGAAAAACTCCAATGAGACACTTCAACTCGTCGTGGTAAAACTCTTTAATGCCTGCCTCCAGCATGGAACTTACCCCTGGAACAACTCGATCACAACTCCCCTCCATAAAAAGGGTGACCGGCAAAACCCTGATAACTATCGGGCTATTACTATTGGGAGCTGTCTCGGCAAACTCTTCTCGAACCTTCTCCTTAAACGGCTGATCGAATTTAGAGAAACAGCCTGTCCGGACCGACCGTATCAACTTGGATTCAGGAGGGGAGCCCAATGTAACGACCACTTACTCACCTTGAATACCATTATTGAGAAATACACCAAGAAAGAGAAGAAGCGACTTTTCGCCTGCTTTGTCGACTACCGCAAGGCTTTCGATAGCGTATGCAGGGAAGCACTCCTGTTCAAGCTGGGAAACATGGGCATAACAGGCAAATTCTTCGACTGCATCAGCCACATGTACAAGAACTCTTCAACCCGAGTCAAGCTGATTCAAAAGCTATCCGCAGCCATTGACGTCACCATCGGCACAGAACAAGGACACCCAATGTCTCCCGAGCTCTTCAAACTCTATATCCACGAGCTCTCGATCAGACTTGAACAAATCGAGGAATTGGATGTACCTTTATTAAACAGTGTAAAAGTAAGTCACCTCCTATGGGCAGATGACCTGGTACTCTTAGCGCTGGATGCGGGCAGCTTACAGAAACTGCTCAATTGCTTGCATGACTATGCTGAAAAGTGGGAGCTGTCTGTGAATATCAACAAAACCAGCGTGATGGTCTTTAACACAAGCTCACGAATACTGAAATGTGCTTACGGCTTCAAACTAGGCAACTTGGACATCGCACCCGTCAGAAAATACTGCTATCTAGGAATCCAGTTCTCCCTGAACGGTTCCTTCAAGCAAGCAATCGATGAACTTAGGAAGAAAGCTCTTCGCTCATTCTTCTCTCTGAGACGAACTATTGACACGAGAGCCCTTACCACTAGCACGATGCTAAAACTCATTGATAGCTTAGTCAAGCCAGTGGCCACATATGGATGCCCTATTTGGCTGCCATCAACCAACATCGTGAAAGCCATCCTCTCAAAAAATCAAGAAGCGAGTCTTCCCAAAGCAGCAGCAAAAGATGCTCTTGAAACTACTCACTTGAAAATTCTTAAATGGATATTGGGTGTCCACAAAAAGGCAAATAACAACTTCTGCTACGGAGATACAGGTAGAACCCCCTGGACAGTAACCGTCCTCCCTCAATGTATTGCCTACTTCTGTAGAGCATCACAAGCGGTTGTAGGTAACGTGAACACCCTCTTGCACCATACATTTCAGGAACAGAAACAACTGAACCTTACCTGGTATGATGCATGGTCTACTATCATCAAGACGAGCACTGTCGCTAAGCCACACCTACCCCACACCCTTGCGGCTCGTGAACACATACACGAAACATTTGTCAACCACTGGAAGAAGGATCTTCACAACCAGCCTAAAATGTCATTCTACACTGCGGTCAAAGCTGAGTTTGGTGAAGAACTGTACTTACAGAGTTACAGCTCCCATGCAGGGTCAAAAGAGCTAACATTGCAAAACTTCGATCTAGCAGTCACGATCTGAGAATTGAGAAAGGTCGCTACACTGGAGATCGCTACAACACAGCACTGAAAACATGTCGCTTTTGCTGCTCCTCAGACACCGACGTCATGCGGTTCCTCGAAGAACTACCATTCTTTGAAACACCTATCCTTGAAACCGAGGACCACGTTATAAATGAATGCCCCAGCTACAACTCCCTCCGGTCCAACCTCTCAGACAACCTTAAAAGCCTCATAATGCTCAAAGAATATGGGGCCATCGTGAACTCATTCCATGCTACTGAATTTGGAAAGTACCTCACAGAATCCTTTCACCTTCGACATCCTCCTGAAAAGAAGTCCTAGTTATCACCTCCTATGAAGTCCTAGCAATCACCACCTAACAGACTCTTCAAACCTTCGAAATCCTATGATTAAGTCCTAATCCTCGCTTCACGTCCCCTACTCATCTCCTTCAACGTCCCATCACCTTATGTAGTTTAACATATCTCCTTGGACTTGCTTTTATGCACACATCCAGAATTTCTATTAGCATTTAAATTATTATATTTGATTTTATTTCCACTTCGTGATATTGTAACGCGGTTAAATTTTAAGATTTTATTTTCATACTTTTATTCGGCTTTTGTTTTATATATGAACTTATTTATGAATTGATGTATAGCCAAAACGAGTCCGTTAGTGTTCTCCTTGGTAATTTCAAGTTTAATTCCAGTTTAATTCCAGTTTAATTCCAGTTTATCACTAATTATACGTCAATTACCACAATCATTGAGAAATACACGAAAAAGCTCAAAAAGAGAGTGTTTGCTTGTTTTGTTGACTACCGGAAAGCGTTCGATACGGTGTGCAGAGAAGCACTCATGTATAAACTCAATCACTTTGGTATCGGAGGGAACTTCTTCGCTTGCCTTAAGAACATGTACAGCAACTCGGTGACCCGCATCAAACTGATCCAAAAACTATCGGAGACCATTGATGTCACCATTGGAACAGAGCAAGGGCATCCAATGTCTCCTGAATTGTTTAAAATATACATCTACGACCTCTCCATCTATCTAGCAGCCCTAGAGGATCTCTCTGTCCCTGAACTTAATGGCTTCCCAGTCAACCACCTGCTCTGGGCCGACGATTTCATCCTTTTAGCTCTCGACCACCAAAGCCTTCAAAAAGAGCTTGACTGCCTAAATGAATTTGCAAGCAAATGGGAGCTATCTATCAACATTGATAAGACTAAAATAATGGTCTTCAACTCAAGCTCGCGGGTGCTAAACTGCTCGTACGGGTTCAAGCTTGGACAGCTCGACATCTCTCCAACAAGGTCCTACTGCTATCTAGGTATCCAGCTCAGCCTCAATGGATCTTTTAAATGCGCCATGAACGAACTGAGGAAGAAGGCGCTTCGAGCATTCTTTTCGATAAAACGCATGGTAGACACCAGAGCTCTGACCACCAAAACCATGCTAAAGCTAATTGACTGTCTGGTGAAACCGGTAGCAACTTACGCCTGTCAGATATGGCTACCCTCGACTCACCTCATGAAAGAAATGGCGCGTGAACCCAGCCAAAGACACAACCTATCAAAAGTTGCAGCAAAAGACAGTCTTGAGACAACACACCTCAAAATGCTGAAATGGGTACTGGGTGTGCACAAGAAAACTAACAACAACTTCTGTTACGGGGATACAGGAAGGATGCCCTGGGCCCTCTCAGTTCTGCCACAATGCCTCAGATACTTTGGAAGACTTTCCAGAGCTTCTTCTGAGATGAACAGTGTCAATTTTTTAGTATCTCAAGCGTTTCAGGAACAGAAAAATCTTAACCTCTCCTGGTACGAGAAACTTAGCTCTGTGGCTCATTATGAAACAGAAGCAGCTCATGGCACCATGAGGGATGTCTTTATCAGTGACTGGAGGGTGGACCTGGGATCGCAAACCAAGATGCAGTTCTACAACCAAATCAAGGAGGAATTTGGAGAAGAGCAGTACCTCAATCTGAAGAGCAGGCAATTCCGAACGAATACAGCTAAAATCCGCTCCAGCAGCCACGACCTGATGATAGAACGAGGGCGTTACACGAAGGAGGCCGGAGTCTGGCCAAGAGCATGCAGATTCTGCTGCGATAGGGATCACGTTCTCGGCTTCGAATACCTTCCCTTCTTTGAAGGCACGATTATTGAAGACGAGGAACACTGCCTTACTGAGTGCCCCATGTACCACTCAGTACGATCTTCTCTCTCAGATGACCTCAAAGGGCTTTTACTTCTCAGGAACTACAAAGACATGATGAATTCAGCCCACATAGAAGAACTGGGCAAGTTTCTCAGCAGCTGTCATCGCATCAGAAATCCGAAAAAGACACCAACATCGTCTTCCACTTGATCTAACACATCCGGTAATGATTCCGAGTCACTGTCTTAAGGACATTCTAACTACCCCAGTGTCCCTTTAATGAGTGTTCGAACTGTTTTCATTCGGAGTTACAGTTGCATAACTTACGCCCGTCTTTGAGTTTGTGTGTAATCTTTCTTGATAGTGTATTTTCGACTTTTGGAGTAACTTTGTGAATTTTATGAACCTCTCCTGCATAATTTATTACCTTATCGGTGCATTACCCACTTTAATCCGGTTAAATTATTATATTTGATCTTGTTTCCTTTTCGTACAGATTGTCTTGAAGTTAATTTTTTTACGTGTTTTGGGTCTTATTTATGATTTTTTTATAATTATGTTATTTATTTCATTGATGTATTGTCACGACGGGTTCGTTAGTGTTCCCTCTGACTATTTAAGTTTAATTCCAGTTTAATTCCAGTTTAATTCCAGTTTACGTCATTAATTGGTGATAATCGGGGGTCCCCTAAGTCGGCCTCCCCGCGATTGCACGTGTGAGACACAGTTGTTCCCTTTTTGTCATGAGAACAACTTTTTAGCATGCAGGCATATTCTATCACTGGATCGTTTTTACTAGACAGTAATCTGCTGTCTGCACAATAGTTAACTCGGGGCTAAAACTGGATCATAATAAGAAAATGTGATAAAGAGCATTACTAGTCTACTAGAGTTAAGGTTCGGTTCTCCTCTATACTACATAGGTTTTGGACTCGAGGAAGGCAATGCGATCGAGGAAGGTATAATGCGATCTCGGAAGGCAGGCCTCCCCTTTACAACACGAGCTCGGAATCATGAAGCAGGAGCTCTCGATACGGGAGGTACGTATCGAGAATGACTCGGACCGAAAATTTTCTAAGTAACAATTTTTTCACAGTTTTTCTGGAAACCACTTTTCTCCACGTTTTATGCTTCCCTGTTCATTATTATCCTAAAATATTTTTTTGGTTCTTTGAATTCTGCACCTACAAATATACAAATGAAAACCATATTTCAATCTATTTACCATGAATAACAGGGTAAGAATGTATTAATGCTTTTCATGCAAACAAGTGAAAACGAATCTTTTATCATATTATCATGTATCCAGGGTTTGGACTGGAATTGCCCGCTTAAAGAACTTCCATCGCGTTACATTACATTGTTTGTTTGGGCCCGGACGGTGCCGGTGGTTCTAATGACCATTTACTAAAATACATAGATACAAAATACAATATAGTATAAATATTATAATCAGAAGTTTTATAAATCCTATCCGTCCAAGTTAAACTTGAAGGGCGCTACACGCACGACGAAAACTCCCTTTAATGTGAGCTGAAGTAGACTACTAGTAGTAGAGCTAGTAGCGCTTGAAATTGACAGAACTGAAAACGAAATCTGACAATTGTCGCGAAAACTGACAGTTTTGTGTGCTCAAAGTGTCGAGAAATACTGACAGTGCAAGACTGGGCACACAAGAGTGAGTTAAAACATCCTCCACACAACAAAAACTTGAATACACTAATAATAATCAATTATTAAAAACACACAAGCTCATTCTGCAGTCTTATTAGTCTTATCAGTACTCTTTATAGTACCGTTTCTGATAAAGTGTAGCTTATCAGGCTGCTCAGTTACCAGTTTTTTCATGTCCCTGACGAGTTCTCTTTGCTTGGCTCTCTGTTCTGGAGATCGATCTGGGCTGATAAAAACAGTTTTAAACTTTTCCGTTGCTCGCAGGTTTCTCGATTTAGCGAGAATCTGATTAACAATTGTTGCACTTGCCGCAGTCACTTTAACTGGTCTCACAGCCTTGCCAGGTTTGAGCTTTCCGACTCTACTAGCTTCGATTCTGGGTTTCTCTCCGATTGCTGAGAACACTTCACTGACCACGGTGCTGAGCTCCTCATTGTCCTGCTCCGATAAACCAAAAATCATCAGATTTTTGTTTCGGTCTTCCTCCTGTACCACAGTTTTCACAGCTTTCTTGATCATTTCAGAACTGACAGGCTTCTGAGATTCTGGACAATTCGCCTGTAATACCGAGCTGAAGGATTGGAATTCAGCCTTGACAGACTCTCCGACTGACGATTTAACTGACGTCTGCAACGATTCCAACTGTTCATTTTTGCAGGCTAGTAGTTCTGACTGCAGCTTAATGATGGTCTCCTGTGTCTCGAACATAAGATGTTTAACTGAGTTTGAGGCCATCTTGTAGTCCGTGGATACGACACCAGTGAACTCCTCCAAATATCTTAATGCATCGTGCAACAAGTCACACGCAGTGTTCTTGTTCATCTTCTTCACGCACGAAGGGGATAGTTGCTTCATTGCTGTGATCTCCATCTCGTACATAGCCTTGCTGAGAAGTTCAACTGAGTCACCCCTTAACATGTTGATCTCCTTTTCACCATACTCGCTGGGCGGGATGGTCATGGTCGTGTAACACGGTGATACACAAACCACTGTAGCTGCACGTTACAATCAACAGAGATAAGCACTAAGATAAAAGAGTAAGAAAAGAGCAACGTATGCAATTAGTGTAATACTGAACATAATTTTCTCAATAAATGTAATAGATTTATAGTGTTGTAATTAGTTTAAAACCTATGATGTAACTATAAATTTATCAAGACGTATTGTAATTTGTAAC